CCACACTACCATTTATCTCCAGTTCCAACCCTCATGCTACATATTCTGTGCTATCTCTTGCCTGAAAGATCATTCCCCTCTCCCCCTTCCACTTCCCCAGTTGTTAGTCTTTGTGAGATGGCTTGATGGTGTAGATGCAGATAGAGATAAAAGATGACTAGCAGATTGTGGGTTGATCTTGGTGGATGCAGATCTACATTTTTGTATTCTTCTAGGTTCTAATTCATCTTAAATCCATGCCTAACTTTAAATCTGTCAGTAGTCTAATTAATTGATCCTTTGGTTTCAAAGTAGTCACGTACATTAACTTTGGTGAGTTGAGGTTATGTTTCATTCCTTCCTTCAATTATATTTACATTTGCAAGTCTCAGCCACTTTTTCTGTTTGTCAACTGCCTTTTTTTGAAGTCTTTCTGTGATTCTTTCTTTACTTTATTATGTTTAGCATGAGATCCAGGGATGTGCTATGTACCACAGTAGTTCTCAACCTGTTCACCACTGAGAGTTGCTGTGCAGCATTCTATGCATAACATGGGCCAAATCTGCACAATATATACAGACTGAATCTCTGTGGAATGTGACTGACTGGTCCGGCAACATCTGTTGCTGGACGATACAGCCCCTGGACCAGAGAGCCAGTGGGGAGGCTGGGACACTGGTGAGTGGCGGACACAGCGGTCGGATCCCAGTCTGCAGCTAGAGTGCTGGTTGCAGAGCTGGATCTGGAGCCAGCTGCCTGACTGGAAAACTGGGATTAGCAGTCGACCTGTGGCCGTAGGCAGCAAGCCTGGCTAGGGCCTGCAATGCAGCTGGGTAGGTGGACACCCCTCATTAGTGTCAGACTAGGGAGGTCCAACCTATGTAATGCCTGTGTAGCACTGAGGATGTTGCATAGATCACAGCTGTGTGCTGAGTGGGCCACAGGTTGATAATTACTTACCGTACAGGAACATGGATATCTCTGCAGGTTAGAGGGTTTGAATGTTGTACAATAGATCATATGCAGCAGATAAGCTGCAGTTAATTTGAGTTCAGGATGAAAACTTTCTCTGTTTAGAAGATGTTGTGACGAAGTGTGGGTACCTTGCTGGTTGCTAGGCTTGGGTTGTGAGTGACCTCCACTGGCTGCTGTCTGCAGCATGGCCCAGCAGGGCAGGGGATGAGTCATTATGCAAGGGGGCTTTGAACCTGTCTGACCAATTCTCTCCCAGGGAGCAGAACAATGGGAAGAAGGGGAGTGGAGCCCTGGCTGGGGGCAGGGCTGGAAGTGAGTTAGTTAGGTTTCTGGCTGGTATCATGGGGGCAGCAGCCTAGGCAACAGGCTGGGATTTAGGGGCCCAGGCTCCCCCATCTCAAGGGGGGCTGAGGCATCCTAGGCCTGCCCTGTAACCAGATTACATCTGTGCTTTATCCTGGAGAAGCAATAAACTCCCTCTATTCTCCTGGCTGGTGGAGTCTGTCCGTGCCATTACGGGGGTGCAGGAGACAGGAAAACCCCAACGTGCTGTCACAGATGTGTCGAGGAAAAGCACCTAGGCTACTATGTATTAGGGATGTGAAAATGTAACTGTTTACACAGTTAACCGATGAGCTTGGGCTCATTGTTTAACTTTCACGGTTACACACAGACTCCCAGTATGTGTGGGTAGGCCTGCCTTCCCTCCTCACCCACGTTGCTGCCTCTGTTTCTGAGGTAGCAATGCTATGGGGGACAGGCGGGAGCTTAAAAGCTGGTTCCCCACGTGCACAAGCTGGGGAGCCATCTAGCTCCAACCCCCCTGCGCATAACCATGGAACCACTGACGTTTTCAGCAGTTACACATTTACTTAATCATGTTTTAACATCTGAATTATATATTTGAGAGAGTTTGTCTATTTGTTCAAGAACTCATCCTGAACATTAAGAGCAAAGACCACCAAATTTGGTAGCAGCTTCCTCTTATCATAACTTAAAGCAAGGTAAAGGATTATTTGCCCCATGAAAATGGGATGTACCTTCAGTGGGATTGCTTCTCATAAAACCATGCAGAAAAAAGACCTCTCCTTCTCCCCCTGACACTGCTCCACTCCCCCAGGCACCCTTTAGGATGGGCTTCTCTTCTCCACACCCTCCTCCCCTGACTCTGACATGTATGGGAACATTGCTGATTGTTCCCCCTTGTTAGGGAGTAAGAGAAAAGTGCACAGTTTGCTGTATTCCTCACTCTGGCTGGGGAGCACAGAGTGGAGATGAACCTGGACCTGATGGTCATGGCTGGAGATGAGACATTGGATGAGGAGGACCAGTGCTCTCAGAACAGTGAGTTGCAGCCAACGAAAGCTGTGATTGTCCAATACCTGTGGAGGTGCAGGTAAACATAGAGGTGAGGGCCTGCCAGGGATTAACCTGTGGACTGGATCCAGCCCATGGGTTGGAATTTGCCCACCTCTGCTCTAGGCAATAATAGTTGAGAACTTTAATAAGATCAAGGCTTGTAGTTCTGCTAAAGTAAACAATCTCAGATGTCTGAGATCCTCAGGTAAGTATTGTATTCTATGTGGAAGGTTGCTGTTCCATGATGCTGCTGGAGAGACCTGTGTTACTGAGGAACAGTTATAATGAAAAGAGTAGATTGTAAATGGAAGTTTCTGACACTATTTGGCTCTATTAAGGCTGCCTTTGGAACGCTTCATATTTGTAAACACCAGTTCAATGGTTTCTATGGTCCAGTTTACAAAATGACATTTAAAAACTCTATTTTCTTGTTCTGTCATTTTGAATGTAACTGTTCCTTGTGTGGTGGTGGTTTAATCCATTTTAATCACACTGTTAAATAATGGAATATCAATTGACATTTAATAAATGTCAATCTGGATTTTTTCTACATTTTCAAATATATTGATTTTTAGTTACAAAAGTGTACTGTGCTCAGTTTATATTATTTTTTATTACAAATATTAGCATTGTATAATGAAACGAAAGAAATAGTATTTTTCAGTTCACCTGATGCAAGTTCCATAATGCAATCTCTTTATCATGAAAGTGCAACTTACTAATGTAGGTTTTTTGTTGTTGTTTCATAACTGCACTCAAAACAAAAGAAATGTAAAACTTTTGAGCCTACATATCCACTCAGACCAGCTTTTTGTTCAGCCAACTACCAAGACGAACAAATTTGGTTATATTTATAGCAGATAATTTCTTATTTACAGTATCACCTGAAAGAGAGAACAGGTGTTCATATGACACTTTCGTAGCTGGCATTGCAAGATATTTGTGACAGATATGCTAAATATTCATATGTCCCTTCATGCTATAGCCACCATTTGAGAGGACATGTTTTCATGGGGATGGTGTTTGTTTAAAAAAATTCAATAATGAAATTTGTGACTGAACTCCTTAGGTGAGAATTGTATGTCTCCTGCTCTGTTTTATCTACATTCTGCCATATATTTAATGTTGTTATATCAGTTTTTGGTGACGATTCAGCAAATGTTGTTCATTTTAAGAACATTTTCACAACAGATTTGACAGAACACAAGGAAGGTACATAAGAACATAAGAACGGCCGTACTGGGTCAGACCAAAGGTCCATCTAGCCCAGTATCCTGTCTACCGACAGTGGCCAGCACCAGGTGCCCCAGAGAGGGTGGACCGAAGACAATGATCAAGCAATTTGTCTCCTGCCATCCCTCTCCAGCCTCTGACAAACAGAGGCCAAGGACACCATTTTATCCCCTGGCTAATAGCCTTTTATGGACCTAACCTCCATGAATTTATCCAGCTTCTCTTTAAACTCTATTATAGTCCTAGCCTTCACCGCCTCCTCTGGCAAGGAGTTCCACAGGTTGACAACACGCTGTGTGAAGAAGAACTTCCTTTTATTAGTTTTAAACCTGCTACCCATTAATTTCATTTGGTGTCCTCTAGTTCTTATTGTTCCCCCTTATTGGTACCCCTTATTGTTAGGATTGTTATCAAGCAGAACCTGTCATTAGCATGGACAAATGTCCTCTGGAACTGTGATTGAAGCATGAAGGGATGTATACATATTCTGCGACATAAATTTGTGACACTGGCTACAACCATGCCACGCGAATGACTGTTATCACTTTCAGGTGACATTGTAAACAAGAAGGGGGCAGCATTATCTCCTGCAAATGTAAGCAAACGTGTTTGTCTGCGCTATTGTCTGAACAAGAGGCAGGACTGAGCAGACTTATAGGCTCTAAAGATTTACTTTGTTTTATTTTTGAAAGCAAAAGAAGTTACCAATGTAAAATTATGTACCAAGAAGTAAATTCAACTTTCGTGGTAGAGATTGTGCTGCATTACTTAGTTGAATTGTAAAATACTATTTTTTTTTACAGTGCAAATATTTGTAATAAAAATAAATATGAAGTGAGCACTACACACTGTTCTGTCTTGTAATTAGTTAATATATTTAAAAATGTAGAAAACATCCAAAAATATTGGAATAAATGGTATTCTATTATTCAACAGTATGATTAAGTTTTTAATCACTTAACAGCTGTAGGCTTTGGTAATGTTTTTTCATGTGCGGTAATTCAGGAGATAACATCAAACTAAGAGCTTACTGAAGCATCTTAAAATATTGAGTAATCTGATGGGTGTGGTGGTGGTATTGTTCATCTAAGCTAGTATTTCCCAACAGTAGGTTCCAACCCACCATTTGGTCCCAGGAAGGTCCTAGGTGGCAAACCACATTCAAACTGGAATAACCAATTTCTGTGCCCTGTGTAAACACTTCCCTGACCCCCATCCAGTGGAGAGGGAAAGGTTGGAGAGTGGTCATCTTTGCATTTTTCCCAGACTGGTGGCTCATGTCCTATGGATTTGGGCCCATCTTTTCACTCCAGGTATTGCAACCTGGTGGTGTAGTGCTACTGAGGTGAGCCTTGGCCACCCTTCCATCATGATGGGGGGCAGACAGTCCACATTTTCCTGACTTGTTTTTAATTAAATCTGTTAGATTATTGCTGAGCCTCTGTGAAGCTCTTCTGCATATAGCTTTAAAATTACCTGTCTGTATGTGTGTATATATAGGTAGTATAAAATTTAATTTTATTCTATAGGGAAATTTTTGCCTTTGAAGACAATGTTAGGACCAAGATATGATGATCAGGTTGCTGAAGAAAATCGCTTCCATCCCAGTATGCTGTCTAACTATTTAAAGAGCCTGAAGGTAAGTTAGGATGTAGGAGGGATACAGGGTCTGGGAGGGAGTTAAGACCTGGTGCAGAGGGTTTGGATGGTGATCTGAGGGAGGGAGTTGGGGTATAGGAGTGGCAGGGGTGCCAGAGGCAGGCTGTGTCTAGGAGGCACTTACTTAAGCCAGCAGCCCTGCAGCATCCCCAACCAGGCGGTGCTCCCTGCCTGCTGCAGCCCCTGATTGCTTGAAAATACAGGCTGTTCCTTCCATGTGGCTATCCACTCCAGAAGGGGGAAGAGGGTTGCGAGGCCCCTGGCTCCCAGGCCAATTTCTCAACTCCGATTGGCTGGCTGTTTCTAGCCAATGGGGGCAGAGGATTGGACTGGGGGGGGGGGGGGTCCCTGAAGAGCAGAGAGGCACAGGGACAGCACTTTAAACTGTGACAGTTGTGTGCCTGATGATCTTGGCAGGGTTGTCCGTGGGCTGGATCCGTTGGATTGGCAGGCCGGATCCGGCCCCCAGGCCATATTTTGTCAGCTTGGCAATATGGAATAACTTTAGTTACAAGGTATTTATGGTTTGAAATGAGGTTACAATAACAGATTCAAGGGCAATTCTTAACAGACTACTAAAAAGCTAATCCAAAAGTGGTTAACACTGTTTCATTTATAAAATTCCATTAATAAAAATTGGTCAACAATTCATGAGGTTACATAACATCATGTTGATAGATATAATCCATTAAAAAGGCGATTTCTGAGCCCTACGTTCTGAGTCTACCTACCTATGGAACTGGGGCACTTACCACCATGTCACACTCCAAGTGGCGTACTTCTGGGAGCACACAACACTCTGGCTGATGCACTCATGTGACCCTCTACCCTACCTTAACAATGAGTGGGAGCTACACAAACCTACTCTGTGTTCATTCTGATCTTCTGTAGGCTGTGATGTTTGTTACAACTTCATGCCCAATTCCACTAGCAGCTGCTGTTATTCACTCTTTAAAAAAAATAAACCAAAAAACCCCCACAATAACCTGAGATTTAATACAAAATTACTACATAGTACTCAATGCAATTTAAAAAAAAGTTTGATCTCAAAGAATTACTCTTTAAAATGATAGAAAAATAAAAACTACACATATATCTGTAGTTTAACACTGGACAGTTTTCACTTACAAACCTGGCCTCACAACAATTTTTTAAAATGAAATTCATTCATATTAGGAATACACATAGAGACCATCACTTGAAGAAGAGGAAAAAAAGGAAGTTACTTACCAGTAACAAGAGGTTCTTTGACATGTTTGATCCTTATTTGTATTCCAATACCTGCCCGCCATGTTCTTTGTTTGTACTGGAATGTTCAGCAGTAATAGGATGAGTGAAGATGTGTCAACTTGCACAACCTAATATAACCTCACCTGAGACACATACGCAGGTCAATGGATACTGCTGTGAAAATGTTGCAGCTCTAATGCATGCACACTCACATCTGGAATACAAATAGCGAACACATATGTCAAATAGAGATGTTAAATTTCAATTAATGAACTAATTGAGTAGTCGATGGGTGAGGTGGCACCTTCTCTGCGCCTCTGCCTTTGAAATGTAGTAAGCTCTTTTTACATTTAAAAGGCAGAAGAGCAGTGGGGACTCAAGCAGTCCCTACTTGCCTGGGGATCCTCACTCTTTTTGAAATGTAGCAAGAGCCCCAAAGGCCCCTTGCTGCATTTCAAATGGAGAGGCACAGCAGTTGGATCAGCACAAGTGGGAACTGCTTCAATCCGTGCTCGCGCTGTTTCCCTGCTGTGCCTCAACTTCCCCTGCCCCTCTTTGTGGAGATGCTGCTGGTGGGAACCACCTTTTAAGCTGGCTCTCCTTGTCTGATAGAAGCAGCAAGGGGTGGGGGGGGGGGGGAGTGACTAGTTGAGTCACTGCTCAACTACTTCATAAGCTGATGCTTATTGGGTAGTTACATTCCTAATGTCAAAGAATCTCTACTTATAAATAACTTCCTCATTTATGATCATACTAAAATGATGACCACTGAGTGAGTTAATGTTGGCATTTAATTTGTCATCACACTCAGCTGTGAAACTTAATATTATTCAACTTCTCAGAACTATTATTTAGCTTTCTTGCGTACTGGTGTAGGTGACATGTAATCTACATTTAGTTCACATTTTTAAAGGTCACCTCTGCAGTCCTACTGTTGACCACAAGCTAATATATTGTAAAGTGCTCTTTCTGCATCAGGAGCCTAATGCATTTTTAAGCAGAATTTAATTAAAACACATGAGTCTTACGGCTAAGCTCTGGGGAAGCAAGTTGTGGACATTTGGGCTGGGGATTGTTCTGCAGCTGGGGTCTTAAGTGGAAGAAGGTGTGAGCGTCTGGGCTGGAGGGAGGGGCTTACTGTGGCTGGAGGGCAAGGGGCAGAGAAATAGGAACTGGATTGTTGGAGGGGTTTCCTTAACTCTCTATTTCTGGGGGAATTTTTGTTATGGTCCTGTCACAAATATAGTTATTGAAAGGTATTTTTAAATAGATTACTAAAACAATTGAAACTGATCTGATTATAGTGTTGTTTTGACAGCTAAAATATGCAGAATTGTGCAGAATTCTAAAATTTGTGCAGAATTTTACATTTTCTGGAGCAGAATTCCCCCAGGAGTAAACTCCAATCACAACTGAAGATTGTTTCCTGACAATCCAGAAAAGCTAGTGTGTTTAATTGATAACTTTCTTATATCCAAATAATTGATGCTCTAATCGCCTTAAATGTAAATAGAGGACTGTTACCTTTTAATATAGGTATTTATATTAATCAGAACTCCTCTGTGTTTCTGAATATGTAATAGTGTTTTACTAATATCTCACTAACATACACCTGAACCTCTGTACTCCCTCTGTCCCTAATCTGGAAACACCTATGGTATGGACCCTGGCAGAGGGAGGAGGAAGTAGTTCTGTATGCTCCCACTCCCTCTTCCCTCACTCCCCAACTGGAGTAATGGTAGCTCAGTGAAGCAATTCACTGGGCGCTTTTCCTTTCTGCATCCACCTGGTGGATGGGCAGGCAAAGCCACATGTGCTCCTTGGAGTGCCCTCTGTGGTCCGCAAAACTTCCTTAACTTGGCATACCCTGTTCCCCAGGGTTGCCAAATGGAAAAGGTTAATGTGTACTATTACCATTCCCTTATACATGTATTATGGTTAAACATTAAAGACACTGTATTTTTTAAAGTGAGCTATTGGTATATATTTGAAAGTGGGTTGTTTATATTTCTAATTGTGGTATCAGAGTAGTTCTACTTATTTTGCTTTTGAAGCACTGTCAGAATAATTTTTTTTAGGTGTCTCATTTCCTAGTTAGAATCCCATGAATATTTGAAGTCTGGACTGAAAGCAGTGGATACTTATATCAGTAGCTGACTGATTTTTTTTTGTAATACTGGCGTACTCGGTAATCCTTTTGTTTTGTTTAGTGCAATGAATCCTGAGACACATACAGGGTTAATGCATAATTTTCTTTCACAGTGTGGCCCAGTTGATAAACTTAGAGGGCTCCAAGAATTCAAAACTATGAAAAAGCACCTGGATCTTCTGCTGAGGAATTTTGTCAGTGCAGTTGCGAGAGAGGCTAATGTCATTCTAGAATATATAAATAGAAGTGTCCTATGTAAGATATGGGAGGTAACTTCCCTGTTCATGTCAGAAGTGGTGAGGCCTCAGCTAGAGTACTGTGTCCTGTTTTGAGTGTCACAGTTTAATAAAGCAGTGGGCAAATTGGAGAGACCAAATGAGAACAATGGAAGTAAGAGGTATAGAAAATATGACCCATGTGGGAAAGTTGGACATGTTTAGAGAAAAGAAGGCTGAGAAGGAGACCTGACAAGTCCTGATAAATACTGTAAATGTTTTAAAGAGTATGGTGATCAATTGTTGTCTGCATCCACTGAAAATAGGGCAGGAAATTAGTTCACAACTAGGGAGATTTGGCTTAGATATTAGGGAAAAACTCTATGTATGAGGGATTTGAATGGTTAACTGGTATGTATCACCTGAGTGAGGGAGTTGCGGGGGGGGGGGGATTCAAGCCCTGCTGGAGCAGCCCCTGTCTGCAGTGGGCCCGGTCTGACCACAGTAGCTTCTCCTCATGGCAGCGGATGCCTGGCCTGCAGTCCCCTGCCTGTCCCATTTAAGCTGTTAATCAGTTAAACATAACATTTATCTGGTTAACTGATTAAATGGGATCCCTACTAGTGAAGTTAAAATATGTTTATTTTTGTAAACATGTAACTGCTGAAATTACACGTTTATATAAGGAGGGCAGGTAAGAGCTGGTGCATTGGCTTCCCGCCTGTCCTCCTCCCCACTGCATTGCTTCCTCTGATATAAAGGTAGCAGAGAAGGGGAGGGTGGTGCGTGTAACTCTGAGGGTTAACTGATGAGCCCAGGCTTGTCGTTTAACTGTGTACACAGATCCCTAATCTCTACTCATTGGAATGGTTACTCTAGGAAAGTTTTGGCATCCCCATCAGTGGAGGTTTTTAAAAACTGGTTAGACAAAATCTTTCAGGTTTGGTCTAAGTATACTTTAATATTCTTCTCTGTGTGGGGTGAGCTAGAAGGACCTCAGGAGTCATTTGCAGTTCTACATTTCTATGTCATTACATAAAGAGGGATACACATTAGGGAGAGAGAGGAGTTATTTAAGTCAATGGCCAGTATTGGCACAGGAACAAATGCATATAAACTAGCCATCAACAAGTTTAGGGTTGTGATTAGATCAGGTTTCTATCTATCAGAGGAGGGGAATTCTGAAACAGCTTTCTGAGGAATGTAGCTGAGGCAGAAAATCTCATTTGTTTTAAGATTCAGATTGATAAGTTTGAGGGGATGATATAATGAGGAGCCCTACAATGGCATATGACTAGGGATATTAAAATTAATCAACTAATCAAATAGTCAATGGGATTTCCATCGACTATTTGATTAGTCGATAAGGGTGCTTCCGCTTTGAAATGCAGCCACTGGGAGTCCTCTGCTGCCTCTGGGCTCTGTGGTGCTCCCGTCTTTGAAATGTACAAGGGCCCCAGCATGGACTCTTGTGTATTTCAAAGGTAGAAGGCTGCTGCGCCTCTGCCCCTTCCCATGGAGCTGGAGCATAGGGGAACTAGCTTTTAAAGTGGCTCCCCCTAGCACCCTCACCTCCCCTTTCTGATAGGCAGCTGGGGTGGGGAAGTGACTAGTGTGTTGATTGTCTGATAAGCTTTTGCTTATTGAATAATTGACTAATGGATTAGTCATTTGCATCCCTACATATGACCAATATCTGACTGCTTTTAGCAAATATCTCCAGAGGCAGTAGTTGAGGAGGGCTCTGAGGGTATGTCTACACTACCCCGCTAGTTCGAACTAGCGGGGTAGTGTAGACATACCCCACTTGCAAATGAAGCCCGGGATTTGAATTTCCCGGGCTTCATTTGCATAAACTGGGCGCCGCCATTTTTAAATCCCTGCTCGTTCGAACC